GTGTGCGTGACTGTGTGTGTGTGTACATGTGTGTGACAGGGTGTGTGTGTGACAGGGTGTGCGTGTGACAGGGTGTGCGTGACTGTGTGTGTGTGTACATGTGTGTGACAGGGTGTGTGTGTGACTGTGCGTGTGTGACAGGGTGTGCGTGTGACAGGGTGTGCATGACTGTGTGTGTGTGTGACAGGGTGTGCGTGTGATAGAGTGTGTGTGACTGTGCGTGTGTACGTGTGTGTGACAGGGTGTGCGTGTAACAGGGTATGCGTGTGACAGGGTGCGTGACTGTGTGTGTGTGTACATGTGTGTGACAGGGTGTGCGCGACAGGGTGTGCATGTGTGTGTGTGACAGGATGTGTGTGTGTAACGGTGTGCGTGATGGTGTGCATTACAGTGTGCACGTGTGTGTGTGACAGGGGTGTATGTGTGTGCGTGCTTGTGCAATAGTGTGCACGTGTTCGTGCATTTGTGTGTGTGCAACAGGGTGTGCGCAATGGTGTGCGTGTGTGCGTGTGTGTGCAATACGGTGTGCATGTGTGTGTGCATGTGTGTGTGCATTGCAGTAGGGTGTGTATGCATGTGTTTCCGTAACAGGCGATGCATGACAGGCTGTACATGTGTGTTCTTGTGATGGGTTGTGTGTGACGGGCTGTGTATGAGCCGGTGTACTTGTGTGTGCGCACATGTTTCCATGATGGGTTGTGCGTGACAGGGTGTGCATGAGACAGGCTGTGTTTGTGTAATGGGTTGTGTGACACGTGTGTGTGTTTCTGTGACAGGCTGTGCACAACGGGCTGTGTGTTTCTGCACGGGGTTTTGCATGACAGAGTGTGTGTGAGACGGTGTGCACGATGGGGTTGTGTGCGTGACACTGTGCGTGTGTGTGACAGGGTGAGAGCTGTTGAAGGTGTGAGGGGTGTAACAGGCACGTGACAGGCTGGGTGGGTGGTGTGTGGGGGTACAGGACACGCCACGGTGCATGTGAGGTTGTATGGGTGAGGGGTGTGACATACACCGTGGGATGGGCTGTGTGTGATGGGGACTGCGCGTGTGACAACCTGGCATTGTGTGTGACTGTGAGAGACAGTACGTGTCAGGTTGTATGCGTGACCGACAGCAGGAGGAAGGGACGGTGACAACCTGAGGGGTTGTACATGTACACCTGTGAGTGACAGAGCCTGGGAGGGGTGTGACCACGACAGGCCGTGATGGCGATGGCAAGGTGTGTGCGCACCACCGGAGAGTGCGGCAGTGCGACCAAGAGGCGGCGCCTGCTTGTCAGGCACCGACCGCAGTGCAAGGGAGAGGCCGGGGTGGCAGCGGGCGCTTGTGCGTACCCCCAGCGGGGCGACTGTGCGCGCACACCCGCCCTCAGCTGCTCGCCGGTGCGGGACAGGCTGTGCGCATGTCACCCGCGCCTACACCCCGCCCCGGGGGTCACCGCAGGAAGGAAACCCACAGGAAGGGCCCCTTGCGGACGGGACTCGGCGGGGGAGCCGCCCCGGCCCTTCCGCCAGGGACCCCGCTACACCCACAACAGGCGGAGCGCAGCGGTACCCGGGGGGGTACCCCCAGGGCCCAACTCCCCTCCTCCCAGTTGGGGAGCCCCCCTTTCTCTAAGCAAAAACCCACCGGGGGGGCAGGGAGGAGCAGGACAACCACCGGCGCGACTGTGCGCGCAGCGGGACGGTGTGGCGCGACTGTGACGCAGCAGGACAGCCTCCCTCCCCGGAGCCCCCTTGGATCCCCCGTAACCCCCCCGGGCCGGCGACGCGGCCCCCAGGCGCACAGGCGGCGGCAGGGACGAGCACTCCAGGTTCCGGGTGACACGGCGTGTAGTTAAGGACGGAGGCGGGCGGGAGGGCGGGCGCGCGAGCGCGGCGCGAGCATGCGGCGGCAGCCGCGGCGCCTCAGGCCAGCCCCGCGAAGGCGTCCAGGTTGAAGGCGGTGTCGAGCAGCCGCTGCAGCTCCGTCAGGTGCGTCTTCTTGTTGCCCGTGGCGGGCGCGGCGGCGGGCTCGCGCCCCGCGTACCTGCGGCGGGGACACGGTGA